ATCTGCGTCTCTGCCATTTGGACTCAGATCATCACAAGACGAATTCCAGCGCAAAATGGATGAGACTTTTGAAGGTCTCAATGGCGTTACAGCCATAGTAGACGACGTTCTCATCTACGGCCAAAGCAGAGAAGAACATGATAAAAATCTACGCGCAATGCTGCAGCGCTCCAGGGAAAGGGGAGTAAAGCTCAACCCTGACAAGAGCACCGTCTGCGCAACCCAAGTAAGTTACTTCGGGCATTTAATAACAAAAGATGGAGTCAAACCTGACCCCGCAAAGATTGTGGCTGTCAGGGATATGGAGCCACCCAAGGACAAAGGTGAGCTTGAGACCATTCTTGGCATGGTTAACTATCTGTCAAAGTTTGCCCCCATGCTCGCAGACATCAACGCCCCACTGCGCCAGCTGTTAAAGGAGTCAAGCGCGTTTGTCTGGGATGCACAACACGACAAAGCATTTCGCCAAATGAAAGAACTCATAACCCGAGAGCCAGGCCCTGTCCTAGTTTACTATGACCCCAAGAAAGAGCTTAGGCTGCAAGTTGATGCATCTAAATATGGACTTGGTGCCACTCTGCTTCAAGAGGGTAAACCAATCGGGTATGCATCCAGATCACTCACAGATTGCGAAATCAATTATGCACAAATTGAAAAAGAGCTTTATGCCATCTTATTCGGATGCAAGCGTTTTCACCAATATGTGTATGGTCGTCACGTCATTGTGGAAAGTGACCACAAACCATTGGAATCAATTTTACGCAAACCACTCACTGCAGCACCTCCAAGATTACAAAGAATGATTCTCCAGCTACAAAGATACGACTTCACAATCATTCACAAACCAGGAAAAGACATTCCTCTCGCTGATACTCTCTCCCGGAAGTCACTTCATGATCCAGATAACAGCCTCAGAGAAGGTATGGACTTACAGGTGCATACAGTATACAGTAGCTTACCAGTAAGTGACACAAAACTAAAGGAAATACAGACAGAGACCGACAAGGACACTCAGTTTACACTGCTAAAGAAGACAATCGAGGACGGATGGCCTGAGGAAAAGAAACAGTGTCCTCAGTTGATTGCAGAGTATTGGAACTATCGGGATGAACTGTCTCAAATCAATAATATCCTTTTCAAGGGAGAAAAGATAATAGTTCCACAGTCATTACGTCCAGAAATGTTGTCCCGAATCCACACAAGCCACCTGGGCATGGAAAAGTGCAAACAAAGAGCCCGTGACGTCCTGTTCTGGCCCGGAATGAACAAACAAATAGAAGACATGGTTGCACGGTGTTATTTAGTTTAATTATTTTCTTTTGAATGAATTAGGAACCTGTGCTAAAACTAAGAAAAATACCACAGAACAATATGGCATATTTAAACAAATAATCACAACATATGCATATACTGAACACTATGCATTAATAAACTTATTACAGGTCTAAGATAGCCCTCGGCTTAACTTTGCGACCAGAACGGGTATGGTAAGTAGCGGTAGTAGTCATAGGTGGTGGTTGTGAACTGTGCTCAGTCTTATCAGGTGGATGTTCCAGCTGAGAATGGTCACCATGGTGAGCTATGGGTGGTTCTTTAGAGTCCATTAGGTGACGACGGTTTCTCCTGTATTGCAGTCCATCTGGTGTTTGAATGTGGTAAGATCTGGCAGTGTCGGCTGCCAGATATAAACTAAATGCCAGCTATAAACTAAATAACATTGTGCAATATCTTCATTTTTTTTTATACCCTACAAATTATATGTACTATTTAGCTGTTTTTTTAGATACTATATATTTTGTTTTTCTTTTAAAAGAAGGGGGATGTAATATTCTGTGATAGAATATGCTGTGAGACATTACTGCATCATTCAACATTGTATCACATTCTGTTTGATCCTTACGTCACATGTATCTTACGTGCTGCGTGACCTGTGATAGAGCGCAACCTGCCGTTACATTTTGTCATTGTCATTCTGCTCAACTGCCAGTAAACAGCACTACGAAACCCGGACTGTCGTACTTACTTTTTTGTACATACGGTACATCTATTTTAAACATAGAAACATAACACAGCTATACGGCCAATCAGATGTATGCTTAGAACAGTCTATACTCAGAAGTTTAGAACCCTGTGCTGGTTGAAGCAGTGGGGAGAAGAGTGCCTCTGTTCTTGTCTGGAGAACAACAAGGTGCTACTTCTGGGCAGGATAGGCCTCTGGTCGAGTGGACAATCAGATCTTCTCAGGGAAAGGGCCATGCATGATCAACCATGTTGTGGGAGTTTATAATGACTCTCTGATTGAATGCAGTAATATCATAATTAACAGCGATCTGAAAGACGAGAATCTTGAACTATAGGTTAACATGTTGACTCCAAAATTAAGAACACTAAAGTTGAATGCACTATAGTCGAAGATATCCTATAGAAAGGCTACACATCAGTGGCGGCCGGCCAATAGAGGGCGCTAGGGCGCCGCCCCACCACTCACAACTTGCCATGTTACCTTGAATAAAACGTTAAAAAAAATAATAACATTAAAATATTTCGAAATGTATGTGTGTTTTATTTCAGATGTGGAAGAAATACTTTATAGTTTATGCTGAGTTGGATTGATTAAGCTCATCAGCGCTGTCTGTGTCGGACTGAGGACGTATTTCCGCCTCAGGGCGCAAAAGATTGCGCCCTGAGCCGTCTATGGACTCTCGTTAAAAGTTGTACATGCGCAGTAGCTCCTCTTCAATGCAAGAGATAAGACGATTTGGGGGCGCAGGAGAAGTGCGCCCTGAGGGGGCGGGATCGCCCGCGACCTGTACTGTCACTGTCTGTGACGTCCGTTTACAGTGATTGACAGGTCAAGTTGTGGGAGTTTGAGACGAACGTAAACAGGCGCAACATGGAGAACGAAAAAAAGAATAATTCAGTTAGATCACTCAAAACAATACCGTTTGAGAGAAGATCATACCAGGAGAAGGTTGAGGTTAAAGAGCTTGGACCTGATCAGCCAAATATTACCATTAGTCAGCAGTCCAGCGACAGGGGGAGACGGTACACTCGTACTTTTTCCAGGACCTGGTTCAGCGCCAAATCTTGGCTAGCAGCATGTAGCGAGGCTAATGCTTTATTTTGCTTTCCATGCCTCTTGTTTCAAACATCAGGATCTGACCCAGCATGGATCAAGACAGGTATGACTGATCTGAAGCACTTTTTAGAAAAGGCAAAGAAGCATGAGCAGACTGGTATCCACATGCAAAATGCCCTCAAATTAGCTATGTTTGGGAAGATAAATATTTCATCCCAGCTGGATGAAAGCTACAGGGTAGGGATCAGAAAGCACAATGAGGAGGTTGACAAGAATAGGCACATCCTATCAAAAATAATAGACTGTGTCAAATTCTGTGGTGCATTTATATCTAGTCATCATATTCATAGCCCCCCCAGTAGAAAATTCCACCAGCCGCCACTGCTACACATGATAAGTTTAGTTTGGTTTAGTTTTAATTGAAAATAAGAATAAGAAAAAGAGTCTTGAAACTGACAGGGAGACATCTGAAGCCATGTCCCTTGACCTCTAGGGGACTACAGACAAAAATGTCTTTAAATGTCCCGGTTCATCACTGTCCTTAGACTGTCTCCCATTGCCATGATTATACAAGAGTATACAAGCCAGAATTAGCCAAGAGGGTAATCTTGGCTAATTCTGGCTTCTCTACTCATTGTGGCAATATCAAGGTCATCATTTAAGGAAGTATACATATATGGACATTCTCTGATCTGTTTTTGGGGAATGGACAACAGGTCCTCTGAGACAACTGCTGTTGTGATTTAGGGCTGTAAGATACGATATGATAAACTTCATTGGTCTTGCAATGGACAAATGTACAAAAATAAATTGACTTGAATTTAAGTTGTATTAAATTGCATTGTCCTCTTTGAAATAAACTAAAACTAAACCTTAAGCTTATGTCAGAATATCCACATCTAAAAAGCTAATTATTACTTGTAATAGGTGGTTTCATTCACAAAAAGCGGGCTCATGTCTTTGGGTTCACAGAGAAGTTTCCCCTTGTGAAGGGAAAACACTGATGAACAGATGTCTGTGATAATACCATAGACTGTAGGCTGTCTTAAGATACACTGAATACACTAATATTGTATTTGGCTTTTTGGAATTCTTTTAGGCTTGTCAAAGCGTCCTTTGTTGTTAGGGGTGACCACGTCCCGAGCTGGAGGAGTACGCATTCAGCTTTTATGAATGTGTGTAGGAAGACACGTGCACGCGCCACAGTCATGCCTGTGCACGCGCACGCAGTTGAGGGGGGTTGAACGGAAGGGGACGGACAGGAAAGGGCCACACATACACGTCACAGGGGAAACAGAAAAATGCTAGCCGATGTTTAATACCTACTTCTATTTATGCCTTGTCTTCTGCGTGTGTTTAGCGCCTATTCGCAGCGCGATAGAGACTTCCTCTTCTCGACACAGAGCAGTACTGGACTGAACCAGAGAGAAGCAGCAGCAGCAGCAGCCTGTAGACTGTGTCACAGTTACCGCCAGGACTTCCGTCAAAGCAGCACACAAACCAAACGAGCTGCTCACAAAAAGGGAACGACAACAGCAGGGCTTGACCAGAGGATAGAGACCCTCCAGCAGGCTGTTATAGAGACCACAGAGCGGTCTGTGAGCGGGAGACAGAGCAGATCTGTCTGGAGCAAGGCTAATTAGCCTCCTGGAGCCGTGCACGCAGCTGCAGCCGGGGCTAGCAGCAGCAGCGGCGGCTGTTCAGGGTGTGTGCCACGCCAGGCCAGGGGACCCAGCTTCATCTGGGACAGTTCTCCTGCGAACACATGCCACTGTTCCTTATGGGAGCTTTTAGCGTATAGTCCTCCCTCCCTCCCCGTGCCCCCCACTGGACCCTGGCTCTCTTGGGTCTATCCTGGCCGGGGGGTCCTGAGCTGCCTTGCCTCTCCCCGGGTCCCCTGGACGCCTCTGGTGGTGTGATCATGGCAGGGAACCTGAAGAAGGGTGGAGGGATCATCGGCATGATGAAAGATGCCTTCCAGCCACACCATCACCATCTGCACTCCCATCACCCACCGGGGGCCGTGGACAAGAAGACGGTGGAGAAGTGCTGGAAGCTTATGGACAAGGTAAGGTGCAGCGGTCTGCACGGGGCTAATGCAGCTAACTCGGGATAAGCAGCTAATCGTCTGCAGGTTTGATTCATTGTATAGATGCTAACTGGTGCTAATTTGCTACATAGATCCTTGCAAGCCTAGTGTCCCTGAAAACACAAGAGAAGGAAGAACATGTTTAAATCCAACGATCTCACACAGTCTAGTTCTTACATGATTTAGATGTTTCGCCACTAGCACAACAAATATAGCAGCTTTTCCCACGCAAAAGTGAATCAACTCTGAACCCTACATGTTCCCATACATGTATACAATGGTTAGATTATATACAGGGTAAGGCTACACATGAGGCAAGGCTACACAAGATCATACTTTGTGGGGGGAAAGCTGAATATATTCAATTAAATTTATGATACCAACTTTAAAGGTGAAGCTTTAGGTGTACTGGAAGGACATGGTCTTTATTCCATATTATGTCATGAGACAAATTCATCTTGAATTATTATTGTGGCGTTAAGAACAACACAAACATATATGCAATACTAATGTACCTGAGAATGAGTATTTAGTTTGTATTGACAAAGAATAAATAAAGTCAGAAGATGACATTTCCACATGTATACACTGGTACACAGACAGAGCTCAAAAGGAGAAAGTAGATGTATGGACACCTATGACAGCTTAGCTCATGTCCAAAGATCCACATCACCTGCATGCATGGTGAATTGGAAGATTAATGGCATACTGTGTGACATTCGATCCAAAGAACTACAACGACAAGTGGGTGGAAGCCCCCACACCAGACAAGTTGTCTGTGTGTAGTTTGGTCGTTTGGAGTTAAATCATGATTCATGATCATGAATCCTTTTGTCTGTTGATACCCTTCATTTCTGCGTACTTTCCATTATAACATTTTGTTTTAAAAAAAGAAGAAAAAAATTCTGGGTATTATGGTGATATTGAGCTCGTTTCACTGCTTTACTTCACGGAAAATGTCAAACAGTTTGACCCCAAGCTTCCTGTGAGATTAAACATCAATTTTGGAGTGAATGAGGAAGACAAGAGACTCTTTTGTGTCCTCTTCCTCTTTGAGGCCATAGTTTACTTCACTGAAGTCAAGGGGAAAATAAAAAGACTAATAAAAATTCAAATTCTAGATTGGATTAATTCCATAAAATGGGTGATGGTTCACTGGCATCAGTCAGATTAACAAATACTTTTACAGTCTTTATAGTTGAGATTAAAGATGTCTTTCACACCTTCAGAGACCAGTGCGCACATTCATCATTAGGGGAAGCAAATGAGTGTCTGCAACAATAGCATTTCTATTTTCTTGGACAATAAAACAATTCTTACAGACCTATATAATGGTAGTTTGTTTTGATGTTATTGTATAAAGATTCTGAATGGGACATGAGGCCAAAAGCGGTGGTTAAAATGACTGCATGTGCTGTTTTTAGTTCAACATTATCTTCAACAATCTTACACAGACAAAAACATTAAGCACGACCCAGGAGACCCTGAAGTCTATGAATTGTTGCCATCTCTTAGAAATGATTTGACGTTTTGAGAAATGTGCTCATTATTGACTGAAAGAGTAAGAGAAAAAGTTTAAATTTAGTTTGTTCACCAGATTAGATACTCATTCATGCAATAAATTGGTTTTAGGCTTGTCACAAAAGATGACACATGGCTTCAGATACATTGTTATTTAAACTATATTATTAAAGTACATTTTACTTATGATGTAATTACATCGTTAAAATGACCATCTAAAAGTGACTCATTTAACCTGATAAAGCTACAAAATCTCTCGGGTTTGGAAATTATTCAAATCCATCCTCTTTACAGGCGACAAAGAAAATATATGGACAATAAATGTAGCCCTAAAAAACATTTAGGATAAGGTAGGGCTGGGCGATATGGCCAAAAAGTAAAATCTCGATTTTTATTTCCTGCTTTGGACGATTTCGATTTTTATTAAATTCACCGAAGACTGACTTTGCCCTTAAAAATATGTTTTGATCTTTCCGCTCAATATTCAAGTTTCAAAACTATTTCTAATTTGTTTCCCTCAATACGTATTATAAAAGGCTTGTACAGACTGTGCTGATATTCCAAATATGATTAATGTGCTGCTGGAACTCTCATAATATCCTTCATTCGATTTCACGATTTTAACACTTTTCACAAATTCGATATTTTTCAAAAGCCGATTTATTGCCCAGCCCTAGGATAAGGGCAAGTCAATATAGTAATTGGGGTTATTTCGAAACCTTATTTTGGGATCCGAAATGGATACTTTGCTCCATAGGTCACTGATAACTGATGATATATAACATTAAGACATTGAACCCTATCGAGTCACACTTAAAGTAACTTGAATTCAGGTTAATATTCCAGTCCAAAACATCCCTAATGCAATGTTTGTATTGTCCTGGTGGTTTTATAAAGCCCTCTGCAATCTGTAACATTCACACTTTTATTTTACTCATCTCTAACCTGAGTGCCGTCTCAGATAATCAGACCTCCTTCATCGTACTCGGTGTGAGGCTGAAGGTGGAGACGCGGCATTCTCCCATTATGCTCTCTGTAAACGGAATTGCCTTATGTTTTTAAATGTGCTCCAACCCTAAGTTCATTTTCTAGTATCTTGAGTCGCAGTCCTGTTCTAAATGTGCGATTAAAATAAATCTTCAACTCTTAATTTCTTCTTTTAGTCAATGCAGGTTTATTTGTGTAGCACAGTTCATGCACAAGGCAACTCAAGTATTTCACAAAACAAGAAACATTTAAAATCACAGTAAATTTAAAGGTACTGAAGATACAATCCTTTAGTTGAATGCACAGCTAAACAGAACTGTTTTCAACCTGGACTTGAACATTGTCAGAGTAGACGCCTGTCTCACATTTACAGGAAGACTGTTCCAGATTTCAGCTGCATAAATCTGACACGCTGCCTCCCCATGTTTAGTCCGGACTCTAGACACCATCAAGAGGTCTTTGTCCTCCTCAAAGTCCGAGTTAGTTTCTAAACCGATAGCGCTTTGCTTATTATTTATTTATGCATATGTCTTGTTTTGAACATTTATTTATAAATAAACTTAGTATTTTCTTTTTGAGAATGCCAGGAAACAAGTTTTACATGACACATTTCTTTCTCACAAGACCCTTGTTCTTATTCAAGGCAGCTCAGTTCCACGCTCCCGCACCTGCCTTATCTCACCCAGCATTATCTTGTTTGTGCAGGTGGTGCGTCTTTGCCAAAACCCCAAACTGGCTCTGAAGAACAGCCCTCCTTACATCCTAGACCTGCTCCCTGACACCTACCAGCACCTGCGCACCATCTTGTCACGCTATGAGGGCAAAATGGAGACTTTGGGGGATAACGAGTACTTTCGTGTTTTTATGGAAAACCTCACCAAGAAGACAAAACAGACCATCAGCCTGTTTAAGGAGGGCAAGGAGCGCATGTACGAGGAGAACTCCCAGCCCAGGTGAGCTCGCACATCTCCAGTGATCGCAGCATATGGGGAGGCGTTTGTGCATTTGAACATTTGTGGTTAAGCAGCCTCATGAGTGGCACCCGATGTCACTTTGCTTTTGCATGCTTTGATGACTCCTGTATCTTTGTTCTGAATCTGACAAAACACAGTTGATCACCGGTACCCTCACAGCAAGTATAGTGTTCAGGTACATGTGCCAGTTAGTCATTCCAAAACACTGTAATTACCCTGAAGCTGCACTAACTCTGTATATTTCTGCTTTTCTTGTGGCTTCTCAGTGTGCAGCCTCAGAGCGTTTGACTGCGACCTTCTTACTGTTCCCTTTATGCTCCTTGTAAATGGAATACTCTTCCTAATGAGTATGCGTGTTCATATGTTGAGTGCATTTAGGGGTAAACTTTAAATGACTTGTTCAGACTGTTCTAGTGGACATACTGTTTATATTTTAGGTGCAATATCTCACCTGTTTTTACTTGTGCAAAATGTGCTATACCAATATCTTTTCTACTTTGTGCATATTCTTTACTGCAAAGCGCCAGCATTATTTAAATCTACAGAACCCATAAATAATTCAGCACGGTCTACATCTCACTTAGTTTGTCTGCACCTTTTGTGACTGCAATTGTATTCTTGCGGCCTCACAAAGACAAAAACAGAAGAGGAAGCTGTCATGTAACCACCCCTGTGTGCTTGCTGATAACACTGCATTTCAGCCTCTCACTGAAATTATATTAATTTCATCTTTATTTCAACAAAATGCTGTTCAGAGAGACATTCCTGCTGGAGGCAGAGGAAATGCTTCCACACACAGAGAGCTAAGACTTCGTGGACAAAGACTACTATTGTCTGTGTGTAGAAGGCAGTAGCAGTGACACTAACCAATGGGTATCAGCCCTTTGAGAATACGACGCCGTCGACCAATGGCATTGCTCCAATAAACCGCCTTGTGTGTGGTTAGAATGCAGTGGAGCTCGCCACATGGCTCAACCAAGAGTCAAGAGAAAGAAGGCCCTCTAATCGCCATGGCTCAACCATGAGCAGAGCTGTCATTCAAATGCAGTGCCTCACACAAAAATACATCCATTATTGTTGTATTAAATCACAAATGGAAAAACACCAGACATTTTGTTCACATATTCTTTGCAAACTGCTACTGTTCCTTACTCGCAACCAAATGTTTTGTTTTCTTGTCTTTTTCAAGTATGTTCTCTATCCCTCACATCTGTGCCTTGCTGTTGGTGTGTATGACTGTAAACAGTACACTCTACAGATGTAAATGTAGTAGACATGGTGCTGTCATTTGTAAACGCTGCTACTTTTACTTTACTTTTCTACTTTTTCACTTCAAAGTTATCAATTCAAGCCATTGCATATTTACATGAAATAATATAAATGAGTAAAATCACTACTTTTGTGAAGGCCCCTTTTAACATATACTTTGGTGCTGGCCTTTGACAGTAAATCAAATTCAAAATAAATTACTCTTGCCTTTTAGTAGTAGTAAAACAGTAGCCAGGACAAACAACTTCAATGTTTGTATTAGTGAGTGGTAATTTTGTTTTAACTTTTTTGTGTGAAAATGTCACTGGCACCCGACCACAATGTTTCGTTGTCGAACTTCCTTTTTTTTTTTTTTACGTAACAGAAGAGTGTCTTCTGTTCCTCATCTTTTCATAAAGTCATGTTATTATTAATGTAAATTACATCATGCATAATGAATCTAAAGAAACTTGAAAAAAAAATGTATGTATATAAACATATTATAATATAATATACAGTATATGGTTTCACTAATGGGAGTGGCCTCATGAATGATTTTTCATTCATGAGGCCACTCCAAGGGTTAGAACTAAAACGATTATATCTTTTTATCAACCTGTTATGGTTAGTCTAATAAGAAATGAACATAAACAAAAGAATAGCAGATTACTGTATTATTAACATGATGGATAGTAGAGTAAAGTTTCCCCTGCAGCGATGCAGCAGAGGGCAAGGCATTCATGTTGTGTCCAGTGTTGAAAATGAAAAGCCTGCGCATGCTTTCAGGTCTGAGCTCCTCGTCCTCTGCTGAAGCACTCTCAGCACACAAATAGCAGAGCATCATCATGGTTATTTATGTCTTTGCACCTCACCGCACGTACTTCTCACACTATTGGCGTAATGGTGATTAGCATGATGCAAGCCGTTAGCGTCTGTGCCCTGCAGGCTCCAGCAGGCATTTACTATATTTCACATGAGGATAACAGAAGAAGAGACTAACCGCATCGGCGTATACAAAGATAACGTTTGTGTTGGTGCATGTTAAGAGAAAAACCTATCAGTACAACTTCACATCTGATTAGGACATTTTTAGCTCACTTCTCTTCTCATTTGTCACTTATCATGGCTGGTTTCCTGATGATCTGAACTAGAGCAGTTTGGGGGTTGGAGTTTAAATGCTGATTAGAGCAACTTGATACAATCATTATTTTGGTGCCATGTGTTTTATGTGAAAGTAAAAGTAATGGATTGTTATGTTTCTGTTGCTTTAAAAAAACTTTAAAAAACCTTTAGACTAAGGTTTGAGAGCCTTCAGGTTGTTTATAGGTTACTAAGAACCACGACAAGGCTAAGTGTGTTTGATCAGCATTTCCCATTTTAGTCCAGTTTAGACTTGTGTTGTGCCAGTTCTTTGGCCCCTCGTGGCAAGTCCCGCTGTGGTGCATTAGAACTGTGCTCTCACCTTATCGCCTGCAGGAAACAGGAAGGGAGCAGCTAACTGCAGGGTCACCAGTCACGGGGAGAAGTGCCCTCAAAGACACAACTTGATTCTAGTAACATTTATCAAGGCGGACAACACAGAAAGGAATAGACTACACCTGTGGATCAGTGTCAGGATGGTTTCATTTTGGATGTCTGACCTGTTTACTGGTTTGACTGAAATTCAAAGTGTGTGCATGACTTGTTCAGTAATAAAAATGCATCTCCATGTAGTGTTTGTCTGCAGCCATAGTTGAGCTCTGAGAGTAGATAAGCACGTTCACAGGATGCCAAACAGATGTAAATGACATGTAAAGTTGTGAGGGATTAATGTTACAAATGTAAACTTTAATCTCTTCCATTGGTTTTCTGATGAGATGAAAGTAAAACCGCTGTTATACGCCCAGACAGTCCATTGGATCCAGCAATTCCTTTTACAGTTGACGTGAAAAGCCCATCAAAAAGTGAAAAAGTGGCCGATGCCCCACTGAATCCTGCTAAATATACAAACCTTGGGTTGTTGGAGATTTAGGCTTGACTGATAATAGTGGTACTGATGGTCATTACAGTTCAAAAATAGCACTGAAGTAAAGTAATTGCCGTTTCTGTCCTTTTTTAGCAAAAGCTAGCGTTGAGACTATTTTAATGCATGTACATCCTCCTCCCAAACCCTTGTTTCGACACTTGAGCAACACTAATTGTATTCATCCTTCCTCAGTCACTGTCCTTTCCTCCGTGCTCTCATAGGGCTGCAAGTGTAGTGCAGGGCAGCTGCAGAAGACCATGCTTTCTCCTCTCATGCATGTCAATTCACCCGGCACCACACAATCTCCCTGTGTGTCGGCTCATAAATCATGGCTCTGCGCTCCAGACGGGAGGCAGGATTATTGTGACATCGAACAACTTCTTCCATTTATGTCTGCTCATGTTTTTAGATTTCCTCCAAGCCTTTGTTAACTATTGCTTCTACTACTAAGTACTTGACCTTTAACTATTTGTGTTTTTCATTTGGGATTCCACTGTTTTCCATATTCTATCATTGTATACTTTTAGTTTGACTCACAGGACATATGAAATGTATAAAATTAAACTTGTGAAACTCTCCCCTCCACAGGCGAAACTTGACGAAGCTGTCGCTGATCTTCAGTCACATGCTCGCGGAGCTGAAGGCCATCTTTCCCAATGGCCTGTTTCAGGGAGATAACTTCCGCATCACAAAAGCGGATGCTGCAGAGTTTTGGAGGCGTTCCTTTGGGGACAAGTAAGTTCTGTTCCATTTTTAAGTGTAATTTTAATCAAAATATTTGTATTGGTGACAATAAGTGATTTTGAGCTGTATTGAGTTATGCGTTATTTCTTTCTTATTGTACTCAAGTCAGTCACATCCGCTTGATTTAGCAGATGAAATCCGTGAAGAGACCCACTATTCATGAAACAGATAATCATGACCAGGTTTTTATTTAACAGAATAAATATTTAGTATGTTTAGTATCGTTCCTGTTTTTACATTGACTTTTTTTACTTTTAAAGATCACATCATGATATAAATGTTTTGTTTATTTGATAAAGAAATGTTTACATGAATCATAATAAAATGTTATGACTCTGGAATGAAATTGGGATAGTCATCCTCAGCTCATTCCTCATCTAGACTTCTTCACATTTCAAACGTCTGCTCAAAGTGGTTGAACTTAATTTATGTAAACCGTCTGACATGTATATTGTCTTTGCAGAACCATTGTGCCTTGGAAGGTTTTCCGCCAGTCTCTGCATGAGTTTCATCCCATCAGCTCAGGACTGGAAGCCATGGCTCTGAAATCCACCATAGACCTCACCTGCAACGACTACATTTCGGTGTTTGAGTTTGATATCTTCACCAGGCTGTTCCAGGTAGGACGTGTATACATTTCCGAGATAATGAAGAACAATGTGGAGTTACTCTCTCATAAATGTGACACTTTAGATTGTGCCGTGTGATGTAGTGAAACCGTAATCAATACTGTGCGTGTTTTGTGTGTGTTGAATGTGCCATGTTTATCATAATTTGTAATGCCTCAAGCGACAAGAATGTTCAGCCTGTTCTCTGCTCTGATATCTGAGTCACCCAGTTTCTTTTTCCTTTTTCTCTAAAGCCCTGGTCGTCACTGCTGCGGAACTGGAACAGCTTAGCAGTTACTCATCCGGGATACATGGCCTTTCTTACATACGACGAGGTCAAAGCGCGTTTACAAAAATTCATTCATAAACCTGGAAGGTGAGACTTTAGCATCAAAGAGGAACTTTACAATTACCTTTTAAGGCCTGTAACTCATGTTGGCACAGAGCATCTCTATTTCTCTTATCTATGTTTTTAGTCTATGGTTTGGCTGTTAGAAGCACCTTCGAACATGGCTTCTTTTTTACCTAACACACAAAAGGCATATTGAAGTCCAGCCTGAGTCTTCTAAATGTAGCAAAAATCATTTGACTATTATTGACTACTCAGTCTCTGCCTTTGTTATTGCTTTTACTTTTTTATAGAATAGGGGTGCCGTTAAAATGAAGTGTAATGTATAATGCCTAAATCTTTAAGTACTGTAGAAAAATACATATTCAGTTCAAACTGTAGGGATTTGAGTGTTATGAATGTGTCACTGATGCGAGACATTGTTGTGCAGTTACATCTTTCGCCTGAGCTGTACACGGTTGGGGCAGTGGGCCATAGGCTATGTGACCGCCGATGGTAATATCCTCCAAACCATACCCCACAACAAACCTCTGTTCCAGGCTCTCATTGATGGCTTTCGTGAAGGATTGTAAGTGTGTTTTGTATTTCATTTTTTGGTTGTGTTCAAGCACCATGCTTTATCTCTATAAAGCATGTAATTGTAATATAACATGTTATCTTTATTGTTATTTTGTTTCTCTGTCCACATGCTCTATGTCAGGGCTGCCCGCACTTCAAACTAAGCTCTACTTTTACAGAAACTGTTGAGCCGTGATTCACCTCGTATTCACGTGGTGGTATATCTGAGGTGGAATCAATCAAGTAACAACCGTGTTTTCTTTATTCTCATTATGTGGAGAAAGACTTTCTTATCAGAAAGATGTATCGACTTAAATGATCAGTTTAAACATTTACTTAAAGTACGCAAACATCTGCCACAAAATGTAAAGTAGGTTTTTGAGAAACTAACACTTTGTTAACTACGGTCTACTTTGACCATGCATTTTGAGGATGCGCTGTCATAATGCATTGAGAAGCAGTTACATTTGCCAACGTGATTCGAGCGGCTTCTCTCTTGATGTCAGCCGCAACCTGTGTGTAAACCCTGCAGAGGATGATCTGAGAGCGGCTTGAGTGCACAGGTTCAATGGGCAAGTGCATATAGAGTGCTGTTCTCTGTGTGTGGGATGCACTGTCTTCAGACTTCTTGAGCTGGCTCAATGAAGGCATGTGAACTGAGCACCTCTGCTCCATGGGCTCTATCTAATTCAGTGTGGTCTCTCTGTCCTCTTCATTTGCCTCTATAGTTATCTATTTCCTGACGGCCGCACACAGAATCCTGACCTGACTGGACTGTGCGAGCCATCACCTCAAGATCACATCAAAGTAACTCAGGTAAGGGCAGATCTATTGACTTTGACTGGCCGTTAACTACTGGTATCTTGTGGTCTGGAATGGCTGCGGAAAGCTCACAGTTCTCCTGTTCTGCCCTCAGGAGCAGTATGAGCTGTACTGTGAGATGGGCTCCACCTTTCAGCTGTGCAAGATCTGCGCCGAGAATGACAAGGATGTGAAGATCGAGCCCTGTGGTCATCTCATGTGCACATCATGTCTCACTGCCTGGCAGGTATGTGGGAGGATGCTGGGCCTGTGTGGGACGCTGGTTCAAAGTCTTTCTCACAACAGATGAAAACGGAAAACCTACCAACTGCACTGCTGGTATTTGAAATGTTAATGCTTGATCTCTGTTGCAGGAATCCGAAGGTCAGGGAACGGGCTGTCCGTTCTGTCGTTGTGAAATTAAAGGTACCGAACCCATTGTTGTGGACCCATTCGATCCCAAAGACAACAGCGGGGGCTTCGGTAGAGGAAGCTTTGGGGCAGAAGGCGCTCCCTCTCCCAGTTATGATGACGATGATGATGACAGACTTGAAGATCCACACCTTATGATGAGCAAACTGGCCTGTAGCAAGGTGAGAGAATGAACGCATTCAGATTACAGCGGCGTTCACCTTGAAAGATGCTCTCACAACTCGAGTCACTTATAGTCTGCTTCAAACTCCTGCGTTTTGGCTTTCATGTTGTCAAAACACAGCTCAGCCTTGATATGTGAGGAGTCTACCTTTTCTCTTATGTGCCTTTAAGAGCATTGATCGTTTGAAATCCGCTTCTACCATGTACTTACCTAGAAAATTGTATTACAAAAGGTTGTTTTTTTTTTTTCAAAAAGAAATTTTGTGGACACAGAACTACAGCAGTCATCTCAGAGGACTTAACAAAACCGTTGAAATCACCAACACAGATCAGAGAATCAACAGATAAGACACAATAAATATAGAACACATGGTATTGGACCATATGGTGAGACCAATGTCCATACATGTTGTAGAATGTTAGTTTTCTATGTGATGTACCGTTCTTATCCTTCAGGTGGAGCGCCCTCCTTCACCCATGTCTTTAGCCCCACAGTCCTCCCTACCCCCTGTTCCCCCGAGACTAGATTTACTACCACCGAGACCATCAAATCCTTCTGGAGCCTCTAGTCCAGGGGTGACCAGTAAAGTGAGTTACATTCACGTGTGTTCCTTCTACTCGGGCTTTACCTTTGTAAATAGTGGATCTGACTCTTCTGTGTGGTTTTGCTCTTCAGGCAGCGTCCCTCCACAAAGACAAGCCCCTCCCCTTGCTGCCATCACTCAGAGATCTGCCCCCACCGCCTCCCCCGGACCGCCCTCACTCCGCCGGGGCCGCTGCTGACGTGCGGCTCCAGAGGCGGCCCTTACCGTGCACTCCAGGGGACACTCCTCGAGAGAAGCTCCCCCCCACGCCTCCACTCCGGCCCCCAGCGGACTGGAACTCACGACCGGTTCCCAAAGCCCCCACTTCCTCAGCGTCTTCTTCCTCTTCGTCCAGTCAAGGGGGAGACTCGCGAGCAGGTGTCCGCGAGCTCTCCAACCGACACTCCCTGCCACTGGCACTGCCCTCTTCCCTGGAAACACGCTCCGACTCGCCCAAGAACAACAGCTCTCCCTGTTTGGACCACCAGCTGGTGAGGGCCCCACACACTGTCAACATGACTCCGCACTTTCATTTTTGTTTGTGTTTACCCATATGTTTCAGGTTTTTCTTTCTTCTTTTTTTAACATGCTATTATTTTGCAGAATTTGGCCGCAATTGTTGGTCAAGAATACGACAATCCCAAAGTGAAGCCCTCTGCTTCAGCAAATGCCATTTACTCTCTGGCCAGCAGGTACCTGTTCTCCTGTAGCTGAGCTGTGGTGTGATATGGATCTGTTTGTTAAATCTGTGCTTGTGGATGCTCAGGCCGTCGTCAGTGCACCGGCCGCTGAGTGCAGACGAGACACGGGACAGAGGAGAGGAGTCGGAGTACATGATTCCCTCGTCCCGGCCTGTTCTGCCCCCCATCACCACTTCTCCTACTGCTGACCCGCCTCCTGTCCCACGACCACCGCAGCTTTTGCCACAGACGCAGGCGGCTTCGCTCAACTCACGGTAATAATGTGACGTCTGAACCGACTCCCGCAATTACCTCTAAAGTTAACTTTATTGAATCCATTGTTTTAGGATGGTTCTGGCTGATGACGAGGACGGACCTCAAACGTATGAAGCCATGTACAACATTCAGGCAAAGTCTCAGCAAGCCACAGACTCTGGTAATGGAGCATCTGATTTACAAATGTTGTGTCAATGTTTCAAGGATGAACATAATTATTTATATTTTGTGCACATTTTTGTTCTGTCTGAAGACTACTCTGAGTTGCCTCCCTTGGCACTGTCCAATGGGCCCAGAGATCTCCCATCTGAAGAGAGAGGAGAGCAAGAGAACGGTTATGACTTTCCCAAACCAAGAGTCCCGCTGCCCCCAACCCGCCGCACCCTGTCAGAGCTGGGAGGGTCTTCATCTTCATCTTCATCATCCTCTTCTTCTTCTTCTTCTTCTTCGGTTACTGCTTTCAGTCGCCTGTCTCTGGACTCGGATGCTGGACTCGGATGTAAGATGATGTTATACTTTTACTATTTATTTATCCTTATTTTTAAAAGTGTCTCATGATCAATCATGACAATGACCAAAGCTTAGCTGATAAAAAAACTGTTTTATTTGCACTTGGCTATATTCATGGGATGCAACTTCCTGTTTGTACATTTTGATGACCTTTTTCTCATTCAAGATACAATAGTTAATTTGTAAATGTCAATCACGGTATTCATTATTCGTCATTACTGTGCTTTTGCTTTCACAGCTGCAGAGTGCTCTGAAGGATATAAACTATAAATCTAGATAAGTCCAAATATATAAAGCCCAGTTAAAACGACGACCAGCTTTGATTTCACTAAACTTGTTGATCATATATTTGCTGAAAACTGCACACATTCACTTCAACTGTTAAAGAATGCTTACCACCTCTTTATATACTTTCTTCAATATGTGCGCTGTGTGTAGAGCTAATATGAGTGTGTGTTCGCTGCGTGGCCTTTCAGCACATCTGAGTGCTCCATAAAAGCTTTACAGCAATGAGAAGGTCGTCCACTCCACTGTACATTATGTATTTTAGTCAGCCTTTTATTTGAACATGCCACACATGCACTTCTCCATCACAGAGTGGTAATGGGGATCCATGAAGAAGTCATTTAAACAAGGTGAAATCACACATCCAAGAGAAGGGAACAGAAAGAGCATACAGCACACACTCATTCACATGCCGTAGATGATAAGCACCAAACAAAAAGAAATGACATAAAGAACATACATTTTGTGCCAGATGTGTTTGTACTATTAATTTAAGACCTTATGTATTTTTCTGCCAACGGTGGTCATGGTCATTACCTTTCAGGTGTGGGTCAATGAATAACAATGAATTATAAATAATTGATCAGGCAACTCAAAAGTATTCTTTGTTTTTAGCTTTCACAGAGCCTGTGGAGGCTCCAGAGAGACCCCCGAAGCCCTTACCGAGGCGACTCAACTCTGAGCGTCGGCCAAGCCCAGTCCCACCTTTGCCCCCAGTGCCCTTGGTTGCAGGCCCCCCCCAGATCACCAGTGAGATCGAGCTGCTGTTGAGTCAGGGATACTCGCACCAGGACATCCAGAAAGCCCTGATGATTGCACAGAACAATGTGGAAATGGCCAAGAACATCTTGCGTGAGTTTGTGTCCATTCCCTCGACTGCGCATGTGGTCACATAGCACCCTGCGGAGTCTCGACTCTCGAGTCTCCTGTCTTGTTAGCTCAGCCTCCTTTGGCTTGTTGGGTGAAGGTTGTGAGTCCAGCCTGAGCCGCCTGCAGCCACAGCAGCAATGGCGATCTCCAGGTGGATTTAACATTAGCTGTTGCAGCATCTCTGGGATACGTGCCCTGCACTCATGCACTTTTTAAACTGTTGGGCCTCAGTCACAGGCCCAGACAGACCATGTTTTCCATTCTCCCAGGACAGAGTAAGTGAATGTGGTACACTGATGAGACACAATGCAGTAACTCTGAGAAGAACCCATAGGTCATGAAGCTTCTTGCTGAAAATGTAACCAACTTAAATCAAACTAAAATGTTTGTCTATATAAAAGTTTAATATATGAGTAAGTATGTATTAAATGTGTGTAATATATTGGGTCTGTACTTTTAAAGTATGTTAAATTAGTGGTGGATAAAGAGGGCTCCTCTGGAGGTCGATTGGTTCTTTTCAGTAGAGCTCATTATGAAGTCACTTTTGGCTTTGTTAAACATTTGGGTATGATGTTTTCTTGGATTGTATGATAAATTACAAGTAGCATGACTGTGGTTTTGGTTCAGCTGTCCTCAAGCGGTTGTCTGTTTGACTCCTGATCTCCTTAATTGACTCCAGTGAATGTGGAGTGTGGTCAGTTTGGAGCTGCCCTGACAGAAGCACAGTGTTCATTCGAGGTTGGGGGGAATTCTGTTTGACTTAAGTCTAATATGGAATAATTCATTTTTAATATATTGTAATATGATGATATTGTTATTACAAAATAATTCAGAAGTGCTTCACTGCTGCTACTATTGTTAGTGCTAAACAATTAAGCCTTAAATGTACATTTGTGAATATTCTGTTGTGTGCTTTAAAGTGACAGTATCCTGCATGTTGTTTGTTTGTTTGTCTGTGATGTAGCATACTTGAAAGTCTGTGCAGCTCGTAAGGCTGCAACTTGAGCTGTTCTTCAGTATTCTACCATTTTAACTTTAAAGTGTGTACAGAAGAATAGTAGTTACTTTAATGCATCTGCTATAATATTATTTCACCATTTCTAGCTTTCATCTGTCAGTTTTCTCTGAGAGAACGTAGGCCTGTGGCTTTGCTGGCCCGTCCCCAGGTCTACATTTAAATCAGTATTTGGGCCCACTGTAAGAACTTATCTCAGGAATAATATTTATGTAGACGAGTGGTGTTCACCCCAGCTGTTTAAACCCAAGATAAACTCATGCCCGTTCAAGGGACATGTAGCCAAAAATCTCCTCTTATGAAGTCACAAGTAGCCTGTATTTTATTTGCACATATTTTTACATTATAGGAGGGGAGACGGCTTTCATTTCAGGTACTATGAACAAAGTGTGGTAGAGGGGTTTGGAGGTACACTGACTTCTCCCAGCATATGAAGAATGTTTTTGGGAGGAACATTACGCATTTTTATTTAATTTATTATGAGTAGCTTTTAATTTTTCAATCCGAGTTGCCTTGATAACTTGATGAATGATGGGTAATGACTGGGGCTGGCCTGGTCATCATACTGTACCGATATTTTGTATTATACCTATTTCTTACATAATCGAGCCATGCATTCTGATACTGTCACTCTAAAGGAGGGTCAATTGTTAGTGATTACAATTGCTGTTTATTTCATTTGCATTCCTGTAAATGTAATTGGTTCCAAAGGTTTTGTTTACACTTGTGAAAATCTCTGTGAGCAGTGCCATATTTTCAGACCCTCGTCATCTCAGTGTTGGTGGATGGGGTCGTGCAGTATTGCTTGTGAATCCTGTCATGTCTGTTTTTTTAGGGAAAGCGAAGGTGTGTGGGCTCTTCTCCCTCCCACCTTTTAGATATTAAGCGGATTTAAGTTACTTCTCAAATATTTGATGCTTAGCAAGACCCTGAGTCATTACACCTCTCTGTCACTAGAGGGAGTGCTTATTCCATACATGTTGCTTTGCATCAGTAAAGGCATTCATTAACGTTTTGATGTTTTTAAAGCCCATATCACTTTGGAAGTATGCACAGTGCTGTCAATAAAATGTAAAAACAGCTGTCACACATTTGTTCTATATCTAAATGTTTTTTATGCAAATACTTAAAATTGAAACGTTTTTATTTGTAAATTACAAATGCTTTTGTTGGTTCTTTGGTTTTAAAATCATAACTTAAACAATCACCAAGATTAAGGCAGTAATTTGTCTTTGATTGTCATGTAACCAGTACTGGTTTTGTCCCAGCCATTGCCTCCTCAGTAGTTCTCCACTGAATCTCAGTTACAGTAATAATGCTTCAGGTCTGGGAGATCCTCTCGAAACCCCATTCATAAAGCTGGAGTACCTAACTTTTCTTTTTATTCATAAGTGCATGTCGTTTGTCACAACACAACAAGTCATGTTTAAAAACCCTATGAACTAATCTGACCTCATGCAGTTTTCATCAATTAGAAAACATCCCATCTTTTCCAAACTGAGAGCTGATTGGCTGAGTGAGGGCTGTTTGTGGTTTCAAAATTGGGTACTCCAGCTTTAAGTAAATTTCAAAACTAGCAAAATGACAGTTGTGAGGTGTTCTTCAATAACCCATTAATCACTCATCTAAAAAGTGACACTAAATATTCACATTAACACATAGCAGTGCTCAAACTCTTAATAAACCAGTTCAAAATGTGTCCTAAACTTCACGTTAACAATATAATGCAAAACTAAAGTGAAAAACAAACATGTTGGGCAAGCTGTGGTTTTAAGTCTTTGGTGTTGCATGAAAAGGCTGGAGCTGGTCGTCCTCTTGAGCGTTCAGTGAAGCCCTAACATTTCAGTGTTCAGACTTGGGCACAGCAACAGTTAGTCAAAAAGGATCTAAAACACAAAACTCTTTAGGTTCCATACGTGGCAACCTTATCATTCCTACTTTTTTTTACGTTTTATTTATATTTTTAAATAAAGAAATATATACATAAGATTTCATATATATATATATATACACACAGAGCTTTTTAGCTGCTTTTTGGTGATTGCTTGGCCTGAGGTGATGCTTTAGGGGCGGGGGGGAAACATCCGTGCTATAGTGGCAGATCTGTAGACCGGTCTGCAGGCAGTCCAGGGCGTCATAAACACTTGTGCTTTTTGAACTAAAATGTGCCGGGCCGTAAAGGGCAGCGAGTTCAAGGAGCTCCCGTGAACGGCGAAGGCCTTTCTCGGTCACTTAAGAAGCAGAAGACGTAAAACTCTTCCGAGACGAGGAGGAGTGGAGGTCGGTAGCGGCTTCGTTCCCCCACGATGCAGGACATTTTTCACTACGCACAGAAAAAAAGTTGTTTGTTTAAAAGGATAAGGATCAAAAAGGGCTTTAAAAAAAAATAAAAAAAAACTAACCTGAAGTTGTTTCTCTCCATTGACACCAAGGAGTACCGCTTCTTCTGTGTTGTCACTCTTCATCTCTACTACAATGTTGTCTTTCCCAGCCTTGCCTTTGTTTCTGAAAGTGCATTTTTTTTTATTTTGTTAAGCGTTATTTCAAATGACATTCATTCAGTCCATACACAGTGGCGGTATAGCACTTGGTATTCGCTGCCGTCTCCCATCATAGTACTTACCATGCACTGTCTTGCTTAGATTCTGAGATCTGACAGGATCAGGCTTTCACATTTTAAGACATTGCCTGTAATCTTTACCTTAGTTTTCTTTCAAAGAGGTAACTCGGTAACGTCGTGGCCAAAGACATTTACAATAAGATGTTAAAAGAATGAAATACTTTTTACACAATTAGATCATGTTGCAAGTCGAAAGATAATTGATAAAAACAGACAAGCTATGATACCCCGCAAAAGAATCATCTCACTAATTAAGCACACAATATACAATAATGTATTAAACGCACACACACACACACACACACTTATACTTACAGATCCTGTTTGCCAGATCGACCACAGATCTTGCCCTTTTTGTAGAGGAAGTACAGGACACTGCCCAGAATGGCCAGCAGCAGAATGCACACGATGATGACCGCAATTATAACACCACTGCCCTCTGGTGGAGAAAGAAGACACATACAATCCCAGCATTACTCAAGAATGAACCACCGAAGTAGATGAGGGATCAGATAATGGGAGATCAAGCAGGTGGAGCAACATTCAACGTGAAGAAACAGCTTGGTACAGTGTAGCGCGAGCAGCATTCATGTGACCGCGTGACCTGGACAGTGAGGAAGCTGAAAGCCCACATGCAGAAAGGTGAACTGGACTGGTGAATGTGTGGCACTAGGGCGAGAGAAGGGAGCTGTGGAGAGAAAGAGGGCTGTCTGTGAAAACAGAGGAGCGGGACCATTTCTGCAGCGTTACAAACCTTTCTTGACTTTCTCTGGAGGGATAGCTGTTTCAGGTTTGACTGAGAAAAACCACATGAAAACAGTGAGAAGTGGAGATCATTTGTGATAGTGGACAACTTAAATAAGTGACACAACGTAATGTCAAAGTGTCTATTGGGGAATTTATTGTAACACTTATTTTATCTATGATATTTAGGGAACAAGAAAACAACATAAAAGTGAAGGCACAAAATATGGCCACTGTATAATAGAAGTCAGCAGACCGACTCCAAGTGCATTACACAGGATCAGCTGCCTGCTCATGTACTGAGAGTGCGTGCGTGTGTGTGTGTGTGTGTGTGTGTGTGTATTTATGTGTGAGTATTTATGTGTGTATGTATGGGCTGTGTATCTTAGAGCCACTTTTACAATAATGAGGAATTATGCATAACATCTACCCAGACACAGGTGAAGTGATCAACAAATTACTTTCACTTTTGACTTCAAACATTTCGCCGTTTTTAAATCGGTATCTTTGTACTTCTGTGTCCAAGTAATGTCCCTTGTGGATGAAAAAAGTTTGTCTGAGTCTTTTTCTAACATGCATGTGGGGATATAAAAGGCCGATATCGTGTATGTTTAGATACCCTCCTATGACAAGCTACAGTATTACACAACAATCATGTTTTTTTACCATTCCAAATGCAAGAGGGCTGGTATACAGTATCTCATTCTAAAATCTGTAGACTGCCCTCTATTTAATTATTATCTGAACTTTGTCATGTCAGGTCATGGGACTGATCTAATAATGGAATATTACATCATGGGAGTACAAAGGTTCAGGAAATTATGAGCAAAGTAAAACTATGTTTGTTTTTTGTTTTGCTGAGATGAGGTAAAATCACAAAACTCACATCAACAAACACTTTCAAATGTATTTGTTTTCTGGCCAGTGGTACGTGTTGCTGTGAAGGGCATGTGGTCTGTTCTTACCTGGGGAGTGAGTGGTGGTGGCGGTGGTTGGTGTGGGGCTTATGGTGGGGCTTATGGTGGGACTAGTGGTTTCAGGTGTGGTGTGTATGACTGAAAACAGGATAAAGACAGACGAGAGCAGCGGAAAACACCGGGGACAGGGTTAGGATGGACACAGAACAGGCACAACACAGAACAGCACAAAACCCACAACAATGACACCACAAGCATAATTCAGGGAGCAGTCCAAGAGAGTCATTACTTTACACAACTATAGTTATTATTATGCTTTTAAAGGTGATGTATTGATTTATTTGATAGGGACAAGTGTGCACAATGAGGACGACAGTGGCTCAGTTGGTAGAGCATTGGGTCTGAAGGTCGTGGGTTCGGTCCCCCCACAAGACCTACTCCAACTGCTCCCACTCATGTCTGCTGTCGTTGTGTCCTTGGGCCAGACATTTAACTCCACGTTGCCCGAAGCCATCGTAGAAAAAACACTGAGTCCCTTCTGACCCCACCACCTGTTGGAGGATCAGCGGCTCTCATTGCCACCGAGATGGACCTAATGTGGCCTTGAATATTTCATTTAGACAAACCTTATCTGGAATTAAAGCTACCTAAGTTTGAAACCACAAAAAAATATCTTCGTAATAACATCTCAAAACAGTCTGGTTCTATCACTTGTTGGTCTTTGTTGGATCTTTAAGCTTTCTCTGTGGAAAAAGGCAACTGATTTCAGGATGTAAAAGATAAAAATGTTTTCTAATTAGATGAAGCAAAAAAGCATGCTGTGGTCTGATTTGTTCACAAAATAATAGTTAATTAAAAAGTACTAGGTAATTATTAATGAAATGTATTTATTTATGAAACCCCCAAAAATGTGTGTCACTTTACCACAATGCATATGTTTGTTATCTCATTGGCAAAAGAAGAAAAGAAAAGGGAAAAATGGATTAAAACAATCAACATATATTTGTGTGATGCACTTTTGAACTTAAAAACATAACAAACTAGAACAGTTGAGCGATAGACTTGGACCACATCAAACCTGAAAGTGCCCATTGACAGAAAGTCACAAAGACAACACAATGTTCAGTCACAATAGTTGTTCTAAAACGGACAAAACAGGACAAAGACACAAACAACACAACACATTCTGGACCCGACACACACTCAGGACCATTGACCGTATATAGATGGACAATGTTAACCCCCCTAGCTCAGTGGTCCCCAAACTACCACTTTTGGTCCGGCCCCCTGAACAAAACCGGAGAAGAGAGCATTTAGATTTTTTTTTCATATGTGTGTATTTGTATTTGATAATTAAGTTGGAATTTGGCAATAAAATGTTTCTTAGTTATGAACTGTTTTCATTATTAACTATTAGTTGGTAACTATTTCATACAGGCATACAGTATAACATGACATTCTGCGGTCTGTGCCCTTTTCTTTTACACAGGACAGTTGATGAGAGAGATCTGCAAACAGCGATGTCTACAATTATTAGGAAGGAACACAAGAACGTGAGAGACTGTTCATATAACTTAGGGATTCTGCTCTGACAACTGAGCTGAACCTGGACCTGTTAAGATTATGCACGGCACAACAGAAAGTTTATGTTCCATGGACTTTTTTCTGTGAAGAATCCAATAAATGTTTACGTTTAGTCACTCCTGCAATTGTCACACTATTTCTGTTACAAACTGACCCAGCCCCCATCAGAGAAGGGAAAAAGTTTGGGGACCCCTGCCTTCGCTCAATGAAGCCCAAAAGGGAAGTGCTCATGAACAAACTTCATTCGAGTTTGTGTCACTCTCAACATTTTGGACTTAAATATCGGTGGTTTCGAGCTCTCTAGCATCCTAGTGTTCTTAGATTAATATTGTATTTGCAAATCCATATAATGAGCCAAAATTATTGACCAATAAGATGCCTTCATTTGGCTGGGAAAACTCTGACTTACAATATCTACTCCTTCTACAGTCAATGGACCATACAAATACACATACATACACACACACTCGTACACGTACACACACACACACACGCACACGCACACGTACACGTACATACACATACACATACACATACAAACATGTACACAAACACGTACACATACACATACATATACATATACATACATACATACACACACAAACACGTACACACACAAACACGTACACAAACATGTACACATACACGTACACACACACGTACACAAACGCGTACACATACACATACACATGAACGTACATACACACACACACACATATACAAAGTAGACAGAAACAATTTGAAATTTCCCCACTAAGGCGAATAAATATTTATTTTATTTAACACACACTCTCTGGACACACACACTCAGGACACACACATGAACTAGCACACAAGCATACACACACACACATTAGACACACACACATGCACACACACTGGGAACGGGGCAGATCGGTGGGACTCACTGGCTTTGATGCTGAAGGCCACAGAGTCCTCTCCTAACGTGTTGGTGGCGTTGCAGAAGACGATGACGTCGCCTGTTACCGTGACGCTGGCCATGCTGATGAGCCCGTCGTCAGTCTCTGTGTTTGAAGCTGTGGGAACAATCTGTGGACGAAACACCAAAGTCCAGGTTGTTAGTAACTTTAAGAACTATGATTTTTGTATTTATATATGTTTGTATGGATGATGTGTTTTGTACTGTTGGAGACCTGGATCACTCTTATGGGGATAACTATCTACAGTATCTATTAGAGGTGGGAATAGGCAAAAATGTGAAGATTTGAATATTGTTATCGGCCACAATTTAATAGAATTGCAATTCTTAACATTTTGCAATACAGAAGGTATTGTGATTTTATTCAGAATCAGAATCAGAATCAGAATCATTTTTATTGCCACGTAAGTAACAGGAGGTCACAGACTAGGAAATTGCTTTGGCTCAGTGCAACAGTCAAAAAGAGATAATAAAAATAAGAATAAAAAAAAACACTTCTAAAGAATAAATTTAAATTTAAAATAGAGTTACAGTTACTATTTACAATATACAAGTGCACATGGTGCACACAATGTAAGGTGACAGCAGTACAGTGAAGTAAAGTGACGTATGATGGGCAGTAAAGTGACTTTATAAAGGGCGGGGGGACAGGTTAAGAAGTGTTCAAGAGTCCAACAGCAGAGAGGAAGAAACTGTTCTTGTGGCGGGAGGTTCTAGTCCTGATGGACCGCAGCCTCCTGCCTGAGGGGAGTGGTTGGAATAGTCCATGTGCAGGGTGAGAGGGGTCGGCTGTGATACGACCAGCCCGGCCTCGAGCTCGGGCGACGTACAGGTCCTGCAGCGATGGAAGGCTGCGGCCGATCACTTCCTCTGCAGAGCGCACAATGCGCTGTAGTCTCTGTTTGTCCCTGACTGTGGCTCCAGCGAACCACACGGTGACGGAGGAGGTGATGATGGACTCGATGATGGCCGTGTAGAACTGCACCAACATCTGTGCAGGCAGCTTGGCTTTCCTGAGCTGCCCCAGGAAGTACATCCTCTGCTGGGCCTTCTTGATGAGGGAGCTGATGGTCGGCTCCCACTTGAGGTCCTGGGTGATGGTGGTGCCCAGGAAACGGAAGGACTCCACAGAGGTGATGGGGGAGTCCATCACGGAGGGTGGGGGTGGGGGCGGGGGGACAGTGCTCTTCCTGAAGTCCACAATCATCTCCACTGTCTTCTGGGCGTTCAGCTCCAGGTTGTTACCACTGCACCAGGACACCAGCCGGTCCACCTCCCTCCTGTAGGCGGACTCATCGTTGTTGGAGATGAGTCCAATGAGGGTGGTGTCGTCCGCGAACTTGATCAGCTTCACGGAGTCGTGGCTGGAGGTGCAGTGGTTGGTGTACAGGGAGAAGAGCAGGGGAGAAAGAACACAGCCCTGTGGGGCTCCTGTATTTATAATCCGAGAGTCCGAGACATTCTTCCCCAGACGCACTCGCTGCTTCCTGTCCGTCAGGAAGTCAGTGATCCACCTGCAGGTGGAATCGGGCACGTTGAGCTGGGAGAGCTTGTCCTGGAGCAGGGATGGCAGGATTGTGTTGAAGGCAGAGCTGAAGTCCACGAACAGGACCCAATTCAATCAGGTCTTCAATTACTCCAAAACTCGGCCGCACGTGTCCTGACTAAGACCAGGGGGCGGGACCACATTACACCGGTTTTAAAATCGCTGCATTGGCTCCCCGTGTGTTTCAGGATCAATTTTAAGGTTCTTTTAATGGTTTTTAAATGTCTTAATGGTCTTGGGCCTTCTTATCTTTCAGATTTGCTTTTATCCTATGAGCCTTCCCGGCCCCTGCGCTCCTCCGGCAGCAGACTTCTAACCATCCCCAAAGTCAGGACACACACTCACGGCGAGGCATCTTTCCAGCACTACGGCCCCCGTCTCTGGAACAGTCTGCCGGAGGAGCTCAGGGCCGCAGAGAACGTTCATATTTTTAAAAGTAGGCTCAAGACGCACCTTTTTAGAGTAGCTTTTGATTAGTTTTTATTATTCCATTCTATTTATCTTTTATTATTTATTATTTATTATATTGCTATTATTCATGTATTGTGTGTTCCTTTTAGTCTCACATTTTAGTGTTTTACTTATTGTATTGTTTTTAGTGTACCCAGTGTTTCCTCTGGAGGAGCCCTCTGCACTGGGAGCAGTGGTCGGTGTGGCTGTGGGGGTCGGACTCTTGGACCTGGTGGGGGCCTGGGGCCTCGGTTTCGTGTCTCCTCTGGATCCTGTGTCGTTGCCTGTGGCTACAGGCGGCTCTCTGCTCCTGGTGCAGACGGCTCCTTGGATGACGCTTTTTCAGCTGGTTGCATCTGAACCCTGCCAAGTCTCTCATCATGTTTTTATTGTTTTACTGGTATGTGTGTGTGTGCGTGTGTGTGTGTGTGTGTGTGTGTGTGTGTGTGTGTGTGTGTATGAGTGTTCATGAGCGCGTGTGTGTGTGTTTGTCTGTGGTTTGGGATGGGTCTGTTGGGTGGTCTGGGGGAGGGGTCTTGGGTCGGCGGGATTGTTTTTAACCAAACTGTAAAGCACTTTGTGTTGCATCTTATGTATGAAAAGCGCTTTATAAATAAAATTTGATTGATTGATTGATTGATTGACCCTGGCGTAGGTCCCCGGGGAGTCCAGGTGCTGTAGGATGTGGTGGAGGGCCAGGTTAATGGCGTCGTCTACAGATCTGTTGGCTCTGTAGGCGAACTGCAGGGGGTCCAGGAGGGGGGAGGTGAGGGACTTGAGATGGGAGAGGACCAGGCGTTCAAATGACTTCATGACGACAGACGTAAGTGCTACAGGTCTGTAGTCATTGAGTCCTGTGATCCTGGGCTTCTTCGGGACGGGGACAATGATGGAGGATTTGAAGCAGGCCGGGACATGGCAGGACTGCAGAGAGGTGTTGAAAATGTCCGTGAACACAGGAGTAAGCTCACTGGCGCAGTGTCTCAGAGTGGCCGGAGACACGTGGTCCGGGCCAGGAGCTTTGCGGGGGTGCAGCCTCAGGAAGAGTTGTTTAATCTCTTTAGCGGCTATTGTCAGGGTGGGGGCAGGGCTGATGGGTGGGTTGTTAGAGTAGTGGGGGGTGGGGGGGGGAGAGGTGTCAGGGGCAGCATCAAAGCGACTGAAAAATAAGTTCAGATCGTCAGCTAGCTTGTGGTCGTCAGCACAGGGGGGGGCTTTGGGTTTGTAGTTGGTGATCTCCCGTAGGCCCCTCCAGACAGAAGCAGTATCGTTGTTACCAAACTGCTCCTGTAGTCGTTCTCTGTGCCGGTGTAACGCCGAGATACACTGTCTTGAAGAGATGCACTGCCTCAGCTGTTTATGATGTAATGCAAACCTGCGCATGCGCGTCTCACGGCAGCCGAAGCAAACCAAGATGGCGGACCGTGAATTGCTAAAAGTTGAAATACGAATGTCACTTTTAATGCAATTTGAGGCGAGATGTTGATGGTTCCGTTTTGTCACATGTGGGTTTTAAGAGTCAAAGTTTTGTGCAAAGTTTAGTTTAAGCAGTCAACTGCGCCTGTGAAACCACAAAGCTAATGTTTTCATAGCAGTCCGCGGCTGCTGACGTAGGCTGATGACGCGTCCTGTGGCTACTCTACACTCTTACACTAGTCTGTCGGGTTGATAATGGAAATAATAAATTTCATTCAATACATGTATCGTACTGTATTTAATATGATTAACAATAGTGTGTTCAAACAAAATATTTAATTAGATTGATTTTTTTACCCCATTTTCCATTATCAACTCGACAGACCAGTGTAAGAGTGTAGAGTGGCCACAGGACGCGTCATCAGCCTACGTCAGCAGCCGCGGACTGCTATGAAAACATTAGCTTTGTGGTTTCACAGGCGCAGTTGACTGCTTAAACTAAACTTTGCACAAAACTTTTACTCTTAAAACCCACATGTGACAAAACGGAACCACCAACATCTCGCCTCAAATTGCATTAAAAGTGACATTCGTGTCTTAATTCGTTCGTATTTTAACTTTAAAGACATTCACGGTCCGCCATCTTGGTATGCTTCGGCTGCCGTGAGACCATGGATGTATTGCGTGAGACGCGCACGCGCAGGTTTGCATTACATCATAAACAGCTGAGGCAGTGCATCTCTTCAAGGCAGTGTTAGGCGTTACACCGGGACTTGGCTGCTTTCAGTTCTTTCCTGAACTGATATTTAGCTGCTTTGTAGCCGCTGCGGTCCCCCTCCCTGAAAGCAGACTCCTTTGCTTTCCTGAGCTGCCGGAGTTTAGCAGTGAACCAGGGTTTGTCGTTGTTATAGATGACCCTGGTCCTTGTTGGAATGATGCTATCCTCACAGAAGTGAATGTATGACGTCACAGTGTCCGTATATTCATCCAAACTATCTGTGGCAGCTCTGAAAAGGTCCCAGTCTGTAGATTCCATGCATGCGCGCAGCTCTTCCACAGCTTCATCAGACCACACTTTGGAGCTCCTCACTGCAGGTTTCGAGAGCTTTAGTCTCTGTCTGTAAGCAGGAACCAGATGTATCATGGAGTGATCTGAGAAGCCGAGGGCTGGCTTGGGAACAGCGCAAAAAGCTCCGCGCACGGTGGTGTAACAGTGATCCAGAGTGTTCTCCTCTCTGGTCGGGCATTTGATAAACTGTCTGTATTTGGGTAATTCCTGGCTCAAGTTTCCCTTATTAAAATCCCCCAGGATAATAATCAGAGAGTCCGGGTATAAACGTTCCATACACAGTACTTTTATACCCGGACTCTCTGATTATTATCCTGGGGGATTTTAACAAGGGAAACTTGAGCCAGGAATTACCCAAATACAGACAGTTTATCAAAACTGTCTGTTTCTGTGATTCTGTGATACATTGCGATTCATGTCCCTCATATTATTCAAAGGCATTACAAAAATGAGGAAGATAAGACTGCTCAACACAAATGTCACATTTATTATGGTCTGCTCATTAACTGAAGTGCAAAAACTTAGGAGGGCAGTGCAATAAAATAGACAAGAGCAACAAAAAGCAGACATCATAGAGTAACAAAAACCTCAGATGTAAATTATCAGAATAAAATTGGAGGAAAACAAAGTGAGCAGATAATTATTGAATTGAATATCACTATCTCTACTGTATCGATTTAATTTAGAAATATCTATTTATTTATTTTAATTGTGTACATAATAATACATCAAATATTAAAATTACGTTTCAAATAATGGTCACATCTTGTCACACAAATGAAAAAAAATCTATGTTGCCTGCCCCTTTCTTCAAACATGTACGAATTAAATTAAAAAAATAAGATGGATTTCAGCACTCCTTCTTCAAATTGTTATTTATTTGTTTTCAAAATTCTTTGTTTTTTATTATATAGTTATTTTTTCTAATTATTCATTTCATACGATTTCACTGGTGTTGCTTTGATATTTTTTTTCTGAAACATGTGGATGTGTAAATATTGTGATACTGAACAGAATGTTTTTTCCCCCACCACTCCCATCTATCTCTCTGTGCGACATTGAGCCATGGTCGAGTCCCTCCATAACGAGACAGTACCTTTCCCTCGGAGGTGGACCAGGTGACGGTGGGATGGGGGTACCCTCGCACGTAGCAGCTGAGCTCCACGGTCTGGTCCACGCTCTCCTCCAGCTCAGCGTTCTCAGGAGTCAGGATCTCTGGGGCGCCTGGAGCAAGAGGGGACCACTCATACTTTGTCCATATGGTGTTTAAGGTGTTTATTTATTTATGAAGCGTTTATACCGACCCTGAACGTGAACACGCACCGCCCCGCTCCTCTCCACCCCGTCCACCTCCAGCGCAGTCACCACGCACACGTAGGTCCCAGCCGTCTCAAAGCTGGCATCATTTAAGGACAACGTGTGGCCTTTACTCACCTCCTGTCCATTCTAAAAACACAAATACACACAAAAAGGGATTATTCAAGTGAGAAATAAAGTACTTTCTTTTAATCAGGCATGTCAAACTCAGGCTCGCAAGACCATTTTGAGTGGCCCCTAATAGGATTTTCAAATATTATTAACTTAATGGTTATGGGCTACCAAGGCATGTTATTTTATTCTACAGTAACATCGTAACCCCACACAGCATTGGAAGAAAATTTTTTTTGAATATAAAACAATGTCTTTAACTTATATTTGGTCCAGTTTTAGTTAAATCTAAACAATAAACGCATTTTGTTTTCAGATAATAATATTGAAACTCATGATTAAAGCAATGATCTTCGTAACATGAAAATCCCTTCTATTCTTTTGGCCCCGACCGGTTCCTATTGTTTCTATTCGGCCCCTGATCAGAATGAGTTTCACACCCCTGATTTAAAGAGTTTATTTGCAAAAACAGACATCTCCATTTAGAAGATTTGTCAAAAAGTTGTATTCCTCAAACTGCAATCTACAATGGAGCATACTCTCATGAGATAAAGCCACTTTCAAACCAAAATTATTAGAATAATCTTGTAAAATTATGAGATTAAACTCGAAATATGACGAGAATAAACTCTAAATAATCTTTTCACATTAATGTTAAAATAAAGATGACATGTAATTACAAATGCACAAAGCACTTTCCCATATCTTAGAAGCTCTCACAGGATTTTACTATTATTCACTCCCACATTTTTGGTTTTCAACGTTATATACAACTGTTTAATCAATTCTGCAACCGGGTCTGGGCGCAGTTGAGTGGCAGTTGAAGGAGCTGCGGGAATTTATGAAAATATAAAACCCTCTAAGCTTCTATGAACTCTGGACGTGGCGTTAATGTTCGATGGAGCTCCATTGTCCACATTATGCACAGACTTTGTATACTATCTTATCATATTTTGAGAATATTCTCATCATATTTTGAGAATATTCTCATCATATTTTGAGAATATTCTCATCATATTTTGAGAATATTCTCATCATATTTTGAGAATATTCTCATCATATTTTGAGAATATTCTCATCATATTTTGAGAATATTCTCATCATATTTTGTATAGTTTATCCTCATAATATTTTGACTTTAATCTAAACATATTATGACTTTAATCTCATAGCATCTGGCAAAAAAAATCAGTTGAGCTCTATGTTCCGTCGTAACAATCAATCAATTAATTTCATCAAGATTATTTATACAATTCATGCAGTGACATAAATGGGTAAAGAGCAGATTGTAAGCTTTTCAAATATTTGTATAATGTCCTTTATCTTTTTTTGCAAAATAATTCTTCAAGCATATGTTTAAACTCTGCAGTTGACATACAATAAAAAAGAAAGAAAAGAAAGAAGTCTGACCTTAAACCAGGTGGTTTGCGTGTTCAGGGAGGACAGGGCGTTGCAGGTCGCCTCCCCGTTATCTCCTTGGAGCACTTCAATGATTTTTTCAGGCTTAATCACAACATCCTCTAGATCTGCACACAACAGGAAGTATAATGGAAATATGCAGCTCTGTGGCCACTCCCAAAGTATTATGAATCCTACAATAAGAGACTTACAGTCGACAAATACTGTGGTGTTTTCAGAGATTTCAATCCATGATTCCATGTTCAGAGCCGTACAGCGGTAAACGCCGGAGTCCAGGCGGGTGACGTTCTCTACCACTAACACTTTGCCTTCTATTAAAACCTTCTTCAGACACACACATATTTAAGTTATCAGTGCCTTCATATTCACACAGCTGCATGAGACATTCATACATCCTCTAGAGCTTGTGTTCATGTTGCAGAATTCTATTTAAGTCAGTGGGAAGGGGCCAATGCAACTCAAGGGGAAAGAAGCAATTTCGAAAGAATTTCTAAAACTGAAATGCCCAAATGCTCATTATTTGATAGTGATTAGATTCAGGAACTAAAAATATAAATTAAAAAAAGAAAACTGTTGGGACTGAAGTCACGATGTTCTGAGCTTTAAAATCAGGAGCTGAAGTTGAATGAATCACAAATGTTGACAAATCTCACTGGCAACATAAACGCTGGGGAAAGTTACACAATCAAAAGTTTCTAAGTTTGACAATGAGGTACAGTATGACCAAACTGGTGAACCAGAAGTCAGACTGTGAACTTGTTCTTATGATCTTTGGATTAGTAAGGCAGAGGGCCCCAATAGTTTGGAGATGGTTGGCATTGGTCATATGTACTGACAAAGAAGAAGGAGATGGATTGGCTCTAGGATTACAGCGATCCCTAACACTACTCTCAGCAGTTACCATAGTTACAATAGAGAAAAGATGTTTCAGCTGCCCTCCACCAAAACTCAAACTAAACGCTCTTTACAGTGCTGTGATGTCACATGAACACAACCTATCGAGCTACTATTACCTCTTCGACGCCTATGTTGAAGGTGGTGGATGGATGATTGCCGTCGCCTGAACAGTGGATCTCCAGCGTGTCTCCCTCCTTGATCTTTCCTTTTGGAGACTCCACCCACACCTTTATGGACGTGTGTGGATCTGAAACAGAGCAAAGTTATTCTTGTCGTCACGCTCTTGTCATTCTCTGTGAGGCCGGGCGCTCCAGCACACTCCACTCACAGTACACCGTGATGTCGATGGCGCTGGTCTCCACCATCCGAGTCTCGCACCCGGGGGAAAAGTAGGTGACCTCGCAGGAGAACACGGCGTCTGCGTCCTCCTTCATCACTTTCATGGATAGTTCACTTTTCACCGAGTACAGCCCACTGGATTCTGTCGTCACGCTCGGCACAACATTCACCTCTGGAATAGAAATACACTTTGAAGCACCATAATATAAGTGTAAAGTCACAAACGCTGGTTGTTCAGTGTTTTACCGTCACGAATGCTGTGTATTGGAGTGGTGTTTTTGTACCATGTGATGTTTGGCCTCGGATAGCCGTTTTTGACTTCACAAGTCCCAATCTAGACAAAGGCAAAATAATAATAATATAGTTTTTTCTCAAATATGTCCATTTCAACATGTATTCAAAACATTATTACACAAATAGTTCAAGTAAAAAAGCAGTTACACTACTTTTGTTGAAGCAATGTTTTAAATCTATGACACCTAACTTATATATCAGACAAATATTTATTTCTATACTTTTTTTTTAAATTATAAAAGAGTCTGTTTCAACCCATAGTTTTCCCCAGCATGCATGTTAGGCCTCTGTCACATCTCTAGATCAGCTTTTTCAGACAGATGGCCCAAAGCCTCAAATAGTGACTCACAGGGATCTTTCTCACACGAACGAGGAAGACAGAATGTTGTGGTCAGATTTGTTACAACATTTTGTTTTGCAAGACTCTGATGGAAAATGTGTTAAATGTAGTAAACAATAATAAGTTAGGTATCCTGGCTTCAACTTCAATCAACTTAGATAGAAGTTACTATATAATAAGTATAGAGTATAGTTACTTTTGAAAGATCTGTTTCCTGGACTGAAATCCCTTGCTGTGCTCCAATGATGGTGGGTGCTTCGGGGGTTTCTATGGGAAAAACATGTCAATAGTAATCAGTAAAGTGAGATAGAAAAGTTCATTTGCAAAGACGTCTTCTTCTAGTTACATTCTTGAACACGTTTCGTTATTTGGCAGTAAATATGAAGGATTTTCTCAAAAAAATGTGCAACTTGTAATTCTTCCACATATTACATGTTCATATACAGTAGGTACTTCTTTCTTTGCCCTAACGGGTTTTCAATTATTATGAGCTCTAAATCACAATTGTATTATGCTCAAAATGATGAGTTTTGGATGTAGGAATTTACTTTTCAATGTAAGTCAATAGGAGCCAGAGCCAATTGGTGTAAAACTTTGTCCATGAGCATTTCTCTATTGGCTTTCATGGAGATGCTGGGGTTAGCCTTGTCCGTCAATGCCTGAAAACGTAACAGTTTGGTGTGTAAATAAAATACACTGATTGGGAGCTACATAGCTGTGCGGATTTTTTTGAAACTTTCCAACAGTAACTGAAGTCATGTTATTCAGAAAAATATACCAGAAAATAATGTCATATAATATTCATGTTATGTAATCCTTTTGCCAAAATACTATCGTAATATAAAAGGTCCAACCTTCCTCTAACAAAACCACAATTATTTATTACTTTTTAAATTCGTCCTTAAATGAATTTGACGTCACTGAATTTCCCTTAAAGAAGCTTTACCCGATTTATTTTCTAATGAGTTCAGAAAAATGTGTAATATATTACTACATAAAAGTTGTATTATAATCCGTAATTTAATTGAAAACTTGAGCTCATGGATTCAGCTGTGTATGAATTCAGGCCGTATAAAACTGCTGAGTAGGCATGACGCCCGCTCTCCTCCAATCACAGAACGAGGAGCGGTGCTGTTAGAACAGGCTGCATCCTCTAGCATCGTAGCATGTTAGCAGAATTGGCTATAACTCCTCTGGCTGTAACTGCATTCACCGCAAAACAGCCCAAACAATGCGACAGTGAGGAAGAGAATTGGAACTAAAGCGAAAAAATTGTCAAAGAAGAAATCAAGCCCGGGTGAACAAAGCTAGCTTACATCGTATCCTCTGGAGAGACCTGCGGGAGCCGGACCGCCTCGGACTATCTATGCTCAGACTATCTACGCTCGGACTATCTACGCTCGGACTATCTATGCTCAGACTACATTTGGACGCAAAACTAGCGGTAATCTTTCAGATATATATTGTGTTAGCAGTGCGTTGCTTTTGTACCATTTCATCAGTGATTGTTGTACAGCTTACAAGAAGTTGCGCTAATCCTAATGCTAGCATACGTATCAGATCGCAAATAAAACTAGATGGCTCCGTGGGATGAGAGCGTAGGGGAAATGAGAAGCCTGTGAGCGAGTTGGGGGGCGGTACTAAACATTCAAACTGAAAAAAAACCTTTGCAGAAACGGGTATAGCGCCTTTAAAGCGCAGAGAAACCTACGGAACACTCTGAGCTTGGTGCGGCCCTCTGCTGTGCCGTCAGTGAGACTTTTGACGATGCAGATGAACTCCAGCTCGTCCTTCAGCTGGACGTCGTTGATGGTCATCACCACGGCTCCTGAGGCCGCGCTGCCGTTCACGTTGATGCGCTCTGAAAACGGCGTGCCCTTGTCCGGTAAGCTGATTCCACTCTCCAGGTTGTAGATCCTCTTCTTCTCCCCTGTGCGCGCCACCTGCTCCATGAGACAGAACCGACAGAACCAGTCACATTTTTAGCTTTTTTAAAAATTTGTGTAATGCCATAATTGCAAACACACATCTTCACGATAACAACAGTTTTTACAATGTTGAATGACGATTATGGACATGTTTTAGAATTCTCTTTCAGTTGGAGCGCAGGTGACAGTGCAACTCTATGGGAAAGATGTCATATGTTTTCCCAGATTTTTATTCTTATGCCTGAAAGTCCTTTGTTCTGTATGTTTTTTGAAAATGGTCACTACCTTTAGACACCTTTTTAGGGGAATACTAATTAGAAAATATTTGTATTGATAATGAACATATTGAACTTTTACAGTTTTTGTTTCATTTGTCCCAGGAATTACAGAAACACTCACCTGCAAATACCATGATTATTTAAATGACATTTCGAAGGAGAAAATGTTGATGCCACAATATCACAAATTTTGTAAAGCCAATTTAAAGGAGGCATTGATGTATTGTAGTTTAATTTTGAAAAATAAAAAAATCACGACGTAGGAATTTCATGCAAAGACTATTTTATTTATATACAGTACACAATTCATGTTTCTACATATATATTGTATTCAGGAAATTATTTCACAATTTTTTTTTAAAACTTTATATTGCTTGAATTTGGCTCCATTGAATCAAACATTAATCAAATATATAGGGCGACAGTAGCTCAGTTGGTAGAGCATTGGCCTTTGGGCCTGAAGGTCGTGGGTTCAAGCCCACCGTAAGACCTACTTCACGACTCCCACTGATGACTGCTGTCGTTGTGTCCTTGAGCAAGACACTTAACCCCACTTTGCCCAAAGCCCCCACTGAAAGATCTCAGCTCCTATGGACTCACCACCTGCAGGAGGATCAGTGAGGGGCTGGTGCTCTGTGAACCGGGTCCAGCTCTGACTGCCACCCCCCCGACCCAGAAATGGATTAAGGGGAAGAAAATGGATGGATGGATGGATGAATCAAATATCTTTAAAAAAATGTAATACACTAGTTCTACTGTATATCCATGTGTGTGCTTAAAACCACAATATATATGCAATATGTACAAGTGATTCAGGAAGACTTTTGGCCCCTAACCTAAAGATCAGCCACATTTTACCATTTTAACAACATCATACAGCAAAAAATGAAAATAACCCAGTAAATAAAAAATTGTATCTTCAAATCACACTCCACCCGTCCCAAGCTTAAAGGTGTGATGTTTGTGTGGAACGTACATAAAACCACTGTATCATGGTTCCTCCGGGTCCGTCCTCGGAGCTGAACATGCAGGTGATCTGTGCGCTGTCTCCGAGCATCACGTCCACTCGGTCCTCCATGTTCACCTCCGCAGTGGCCCGCACTGTGAAAGACACGGGTCATTAGTTACCACAGTTGTCAAAGTAATCATGAACTGTTGATCATTAGTCACATCAGAGTTGGAAGTGAATTATTTATGAGCTATTCTTGCATGTATTTATTACTGCAAATAACTAGATATTTTAGTACAAACCATGCAGCCTTGTGGCAGCAGTTTGGCTCAGATGTTTTGTGTATCTGGTTGCCAAAAAAAAAAAGTTACTAAATTCTTCCATTTCAACTAATGCACAGGTCAGGAACCTAAGGCTTTGGATGATTGTGTCTGGCTCTCAGACAAGTCTTAGTTGGCATCAATAGTAAGAATGTTGTAAAATTGTAGTTTCTTCAGTATAAAAACAAAATAATTCATTCTAATTAATAATAATTAGAATGAATTATTAATAATTCAAGACTAATGTTATACTTTCAATGTGTTGATCTTGTCTTGAAAAAATCAAAACATATCTGATAAGAGTGAATAGTATCACAGTCAAAAAAATGTCTATGGCTCCCAAGAGAATACACCTTTTAGCATGAGATTTTTTTGGCTCTCTCGGCTAAAAAGGTTCTGAACTCTGAACTAATCAATGCACACGTCCCGTTGTAACAGACAGAGTCATAACAGTGAATGTATTATCTAATCAATCATCTAATTTTGTATATCATAATATCATGTGCCGAGTGATAACTGCACTTTCTTCCCAGATCTGAAAATTGCCTGCTTCCCCTCAAATTGAGTTGAGGTTAATGTGAGCTACTTTCAGCTAATAATAGTCTTTTCATGAAATTATATATATTGACTTCGATGGATACACAATTGAATTTACAGCAAGTTCAGAATTTGTTAAGCGTTATGAGAACTGGAGCTGGTAAAGTTAACCTTTTTTTTGTATTGGTAAAACACAAACTGGTGACACAAAAATTACATGTCACAGGGAAGAGGATCTACTATGACAGGAATGAGCAGCCCACCCATGTCCAGCCCATGTCCTGCATTCCTCTGTGGCACTCGCACACAGGAAGAAAGGCTCGATTTACAGCAGTATAGAAGGGCCACTGTTCCTCTCTCCCTGCAGCATTTTGACTTATGACGCACCCTCAGAGGACGCTCCACTACCCCTTGGTAGCTCCTTACATCCGCGCGCCGCAGTCGGACAATACAGGCTGTTTCCGGGCTTTGTGGCCAGAGGTTTGATGCACTGTTAACGGCAGTCACGGTCAAGATGACGCATTCACTGTGGGAATCTTAAAAGACACCATTTTTGAAACAATCTTGTAATGAAGACAAAACACTGCAAAAAGTGATGAAAAAAAGAGAGCTCAAATTTAGCAAAATGTATTTTGATTTGAGCACTTTTTCACTGCCTTAAATTAAGATTTTCCAATGGGACAGGTAGAATTATCTTGTTTTAAAAAGATAAAAGAAAGTACTCACTTGGAATGAGAAAATAAAGCAAAACCCTTTGAAAAAATACAAATGCCTTGTCTGAAAATGTTGTTTTAAGACAAACCACAATAATCAAACTCATATTTTATACTTTTTTGCAGTGAACCAGCTCACTCGCCAACTTCTATCTAATTCACTGAACAAGAAGTGTGTAAACGTGTGCGCTCAGGTTGAACAGTTTCTAATGTAAGCCAGATCCTATTGAGACATGGGCGGCGCATTTAAGAGCACAGGGAAAAGCCAGGTTTATATTAGAATTGTATGTATAGGATGCATTTTGGCTACTCACTCATTTTTATCATTGCGATGAATACACCTCGTTGCACATGTTTCATTCCTGGTTTAGTTTTGTTACACGCAACAAAAACAAGAAAAATTGTACGTTCTTTTTGCCCCGGTCGAAAATTAAAGGTGATGTCAACACATGTAATCGTATTTTGTCACCAGGATCAGTAAGATTTGCTGGAGGAGAGAAGTTTGACTAATGGCAAACATTTTGATTAATTTTGTCTAATCAGGAAACTGTGGGTGGGAATGGGTGGGTCTAACTGGTGCTAGCTTAGTAAGTAACGGACATTCACTTTAAAGTCACTTGTGCTGCTGCAGTTAAGCATGTGTGGAAATCCAAAAGCAAGCTCAATATGCCGTTTTATATCTTTTTATTTAAAAGGTCTGTTCCGAAGTGTCAGTGCTGAGGAAAAGTTACGAGAAGCCTTTGAAAGCAGCACAAGGCTTCTTCCAGCACGACTCCAGCCTATTTTTTAACATACACTGTACTCTTAATGCTTTCTAAACATACTCACTGAGCCAGAACCAGCAGTCTTAACCAAAGAGAGTGGACTGAAGTTTTGCATTGAAATTGACACTGCATTTGCTCATCTCAACCAAATCTGCCGTTTTCACTCCGGGCCCCTTCTCCTCCACTCTCCAGAGCTGCTGCTGCTGTTTACCCCCCACGTAATGGAACAGGACAGATGCTTTCCTGTTAAAGAAATCCAATTAGTGTCTCTAACATTCACATTTCCTGGCCATTAGCAACGATGAAGGACAATGCTGACTCGCCTGCCCCTCCCCCACCTGACAGCTGAAGTTTTTAAAAAAGTAGCAATAAGTTTAGGTTTGTTTGATTTGTATTGTATGTGGCACGCAGACCCTCTGGAGCGTCGCAGTCTGATAGCATTAGTAATCTGAACACTCTTTTGGTGCGTAGCGTCTATCAATAGGAGAGGCTCCCATTACAAGGCCGACATCGATCACTGCTGATTATGAGACAGCACATAGTCTATGAATATTAGATAATCACACTAAATCACAGCTGACAGAGCATCCCTTTGACAATGATGCAAGACATGACGGAAGGTTTGTGCAGAGAATAGAAACTGAATCAGTGAGCAGGCAAGAATGTGACTGGCATATTAATACATTATACTTAATCTGTCAGAAAAAAAAGTATCAATATATGAAATGGTACTGCAAAATTTGAATGGAAACTGCACTACTTAAAGGGGATGTCAGCAACTTGTATTTCATTTAGACAATAATAAAACATTTAGACAATATGACACTGTATTATCATCAAAAATCGCAAACTCCACATAGCTCCTTTTTTTATTACAATATTTATAACAGTTTCTCTCCTTGGAATAAACATCTCCAGTTAGATTTGCAGGAGGAGAATAGTTAAACCAATGGCAAAGGGCCTCTATCCTCTGCTTGCGTTCAAAAAACATCTTTACCTTCACAATTAGAAAAGTAACTTTAAAGCTGGGGTACCTACTTTTCTACTATGTTATAAACTTCCTCCCTCTCAAAATGAGAAGTAAAAGAGACACCACCGTTGGCGTAAGCAATCAGCTCAAAGTGTCAAATAGTGACTCAGCTTTTTCTTACAAGTACGCAAAAGATGACGTGCTTTCTGAAACGGATAAAGAGTCATGTTGCTCGTCTCATTTGTCATTTTTTTTTTACTTTTACAAGACTTTCTGTTGGGACAAGCACTATGTATTATTCATGAAAAAAGTTAGCCACCCCACCCATTTATACCTAAATCACATTAAGACAGAAGCAAAAGTCTGGAGCTGGTATTGAGGAAGGGAGGAGCCCAACACAAAGAACAAGAGGTTAAAGTTTTGCTCTTAGTGTTGTGTGTATGATAGAAAACACCTTGTAACTTAAGCAAGAAAGGAATAGCTATAAAAAAACAATGAAACCGCATTATGAGGATTCCACAAAACATTTATTCTGTTATAGTCTTTCAAAACCAAATAAATCTGCGAGTTAAAAGGAACATTTGCCTCTGACATAAATATATAAAGTCATCAGAATGCGGGTCACATGCAAACACACTCCTCAGATAAAAGAGATTCAAAGAGGCTCAGAAAAGCGGCACTACTTCATCCCAAAGGCTCAAATAAACATTTTTTTCTGCTTCCTCCCCTAAATCCCCACTCATCTCACGATAAGAGCGGATAGTTTTCAGACGGTACAACTATATTAGGCCCTCTTAAGATAACAAAGGCGAGCAAAGCTGATGTAGTGTTATCATGAGAGGAAGTGCTATCAAACTCATTGTGTATTATGACAAACAGCTTGGATTTCAGCGTAGGCCAGAGTGCACCCAAACAAACAACCGCTGGGACTAGATATCAGTCAGTACTCTGTAATACAAACAGGATTATTAGCTGTGTCTGTGTAGATGTGGATGGGGGACCTCACTTTTTTGTTCAATAATCAATACATTTAAACATAATAATCATTGTATTCATATATTTTTTGGGCTTTCTAAATTTTCTAAATCTATTTTTCTTGCTTTTTTCTACCTGGGATGTTGCTGCAGTACAGTGTTCATGGTTTTAGACTAGTCCTGAGAGGATTCATGGTCCGAACCAAGTGGATCTGATGAAAATCCATTGGAGGAATGCTAACTTTTTGAAAAATGCTAATGAACCATTCAGCATTTTACTTTGGAGTAGAGCAGAGAAAATGGTCCGAACCAAGCGGCTACTCCACCTTGTGACCTGTCCTGCTCCACCCAGAGGCTACTCCACCTCTGCTGCTGTGACCTGAAGGGCTGTCGCTGATTATTACTATTGTTAGCTTTTTTGAATGATCAATTTTATTTTTATTTTTGCTGCTACTGGACACTTGAATTTATTCGACGGGGATCAATAAAGTATCTATCTATCTATCTATATACATTAAACATAATAATTCATACATTTAGTTTTTTAGAGTGAAACTTACTGTACAGAACAAACCACAAAACAAAATTCTGTCTTTATCGGATTAGAAAACAAGTTATCCTTTGCATACAAATAGTGTCCCTGTGAGTCACTATTTGGTGGTTTGGGCTGAGAGATGATTGGCTGAGTGAGGGTGGAGCTCTCTTGTTCCTGTTTCTGTCTGAAAATCTAAAGATGTGACAGGCGCCAACAAAGCATGCCAGTGGAAACGAGGGATAGAACCATAGACTGTATACAAATGGAAAATGCTATCCCTCTAGCTAGCTCAATTGGGAAGTGCTCACGGACTCGCTCTGGTTCCTATTGTCTTGTATG